GCTTATTGTACGATAAATTACGTTCTCGGCGTTATTGTCGCTAAGCCAACACCTGGTATCCGTAACAATATTTCCACCGTGGCTGAAAAGGGGCTCGGATGTAGTGCTTGAGGCTGGAATGCTTAGATCCTTCCCAGCTAAACGCTGCAGTATAGGGTACGTTTACATTCTTTCTTTCCACCACAGTCGAATGTTGACATCCATGGACACATTGGGGATGTCTGTGTACCGGTTGATTTCAGTATGAAACATAGATTCTGGTGTAGATGCAGCTGCAGCATGACCGCCATCGTCTCCTCAATCGCACAAACGCCGTTTCTTAGCAAATAATCCATCCACTCAGACTACCGCGGCATTTCTCTTGGACGTCATCGACAGCTCTAGTCTCATCAGGATTTGCTGGAAATAATTAAGAACAGATTTAGTGACAAACGCAAGCAGAAGGGGAAAGGATGGGGGAAAAGGGCCGTTTAGTTTACTCTTATTTGTTCCTTTTTTACCTGTAGCTTTGTAATCGTCCAAAAGCTACTGCTTAGCAAGCTCTTTCTCGTCAGCAGTAAGCTCGTCTCTATACCGAGGGTCAAGCCTGCTACATTTGACCAGTAACTAATGAGTTTCAGTTGCACACCGATGGTTAATGGGTAAGGTGAAGGGGCGAGGAGGGAAGGGTGTGGGCAGGGGGAGGCAGGGGAGGGAAGGGTGTGGAAAAACTGTGAACTGTGAACCCAGAACCCAGAAAAACTGTGATTTATCTAATACCGTGTGAGACAGGGTAGTTTCGAGCTTTGCAGAGTTAGGATTTAAGTTCTTCTAGTGTATGCTGATGGCGTCTTGGCATTGCTGATCCTTACTACTTACCTCTCTGTTCCTTGCAGCCGAACGTGACTCCACCTATGCATGATGGCTGACGACCATAAAGACCAGCAAGAACATGAAATTTTGCAGCAGAAACGTACCAAGGTAAATACAATGAAACTCCAAATAGTATTTAAAAATATTTCACCTAACCAGAAAAACCACGTTACTTTTCTGTCTCTGTTCTTTGCAGGTTAAAGAAAGTATGCCTGAACCCAAAAAAGTACCCACCAAGGTAAATATAATGAAACTCCAAAGAGTTTTTTTTAATTATTTTTTATAAGACATCAAAGTAAACTTAGCTTTTTTGGCTGAGCGATAGCGAAGCCTGTTACTCCAGTGGGGTTGAAAAGTCTTTCCTGCACTGTTAAAAATGAATGAAATTTAATGACATTTGTGACATTATTTTTCATTAAACGTCATTATTTTTAATTACATGTTCACAATAGAACATACAAACAAGTATGAAAATAGTATCATAGAAAATAACTACAAATATATTTGCAGGAAACATAACCAGAATAAACTTAAACTAAACTTTGGAACGGAGAACAGCTGCCTTTGGTTTCTGCTTACAAAACTCCTATCCATCTAACTCCAGTACAGGGATATCAGTCAAAAGATTTACCCCATCACCATCTGCCCTATCCTTTACTCCTCCTCGAACAGACCATCCTTGAGCTCCTGCTCATACTCCCCAACCCTTTCAGTACCGAACGTGTCAACAAAGGTGTTTCTCTCTGAAACTTTGAGCAACTTATCATAGTATCTTATCTTGGCCATGGCTGAGATATAAAGGGGATCTTCAGAACTCACCCTCATGCCTTTATAGTTAGTTTCGGAACAAACAGCTCCAGGCTTGATATGTTTCTCCTGCAATGCCTAGGCCACCGCTGACATCAGCTTAAAGTTTACGGAATTGAGTGGATTCTTGCTTGAAGGATCAGTAATCAATTTACAATGAGGGTACCGACTCCCCAAGGACTTTAGGTACTGGAGACTCCCCTTCAGATGTGGGAGCTCACTCCTAAATTCAGAAATGGCTAACATGTCTGGGCGCTTGATTACAAGCTCATTAAGGATCGCCCGAATATGAGTACATTCAGCCCATTCTAGTAAATTGAGCGTCCACAGGGCCATCGTTCCCTGGATTCCTTCTACTTCCTTGGCGGCGACAAGATAATCTATCATCACAGTTCGTGCCCGCCAGAAACTCGTGACTCTCTCGTAGAATTGAGCAACGGGTATTACACCTGGAGTCATTGATTTAAACTTCCCCTTATCCTCAGGCACACCTGCTTTTGCACAGGCTCCTCGGAATCTGGAGCTGGACCATCGATCGTAATTATCAGATGATAAATTCTTTGATGCCCAAAGCACCATCACAGAGAAGATGGCGAGGAAATGCCTGTGGTCTATCCTCACCATCTCCTCTTGCATTGTAGCTACTTTTTCCTTATACTCTTCCCTGCAAGCCCTCATGTCAACTGGTGCGAAATCTATATTGTGACTAGCGAAAGCGTCCTTAAGAGGCTTCAAGAGCCCTTCGTCTATCCCAACAAAGTAAGAGAACACAAGTCCGCAGATCAAGTCCATGTCTGCGGTCATCTCTGTGTCTCTCAGCATTGCCAAGATAGTGAGGAGATCTTCATCATTCTCATCTTGAGGTTTCCTGCAGGGATAATACGCATATTTGGCTTTCCTATTGAGTCTTGTAGGCTGAATGTTCTTTATCTGGATGTTCTCACTCTGACAATCCTGGATTTCGCTTATGAAGTCACTAGACTTTGTCAGGATATCCGATAAAGGTCCATGCAACACCGAAGCCTTTTGGGATCCAGATTTTGTCCTAGAAGCCATGGTAGTGGTTACCAGATTCCAAGGAACCGACTATAGACGTATCTAATGGCTAGGAAGCTAATGATGCTTTTTGGACTTTCCAGATTCATTACATTGTAATGAAAATTTCATTACCTCGGTCATAAAGTTTAATGACATTAGCCATGTAATGAAAGTTTCATTACATTATGCAGCTTGTCATGAAATTTTCATTACATGTCATTAAATTTTTCAAAAATATTTAAGCATGACTGAAATTTTTTGGATTTGTCAAGGATGTAAGTTAAGCTTACTCAAACTAATTTAGCCTTCTATTGGCTGCCAACATCAATTTTTCTCCTACAGTCGTCCATTGCGGCGTCATATGCCAAACATGTCATTCGCAAGTCTGCCGCTAGGTGTCGCATGGTACACGGGGTTCACTCTCAACTCTGTATTTCGTATTAAAATATTAAAACGTGAGGAGATATTCTGAAATGTATCCGTGGTTCATGTGAAGTGCTGGATTGTTAAACTAATGGCGCAGAGTTTGGGGGAATAGAGCGATATTTGAAGTGACCAAATAGGTTTGTCTGATGTTGCTCGAAGGCGTCCACGGGCTGCCGTTTGGTAGGGTCAGCACCCGACCTCACTCACTCAGGCAACTAATCTGCCTCAGGCCTGAATCGTCCCGGGGTCACTCAATTTTTACCTCTTCTCTGCTGTCAGAGTCGCTGTGAATTCTCTCTAACCTATGTCAAATCGAAACGAAAAGTTGGGTAATTTGCGTCAACTTTGATCATTTTCATTACGTTTTTGTCATTAAAATTTTCATTACATTCGTTCATTACACTGTAATGAAAATTTTAATAACATACGTGTAATGAAAACTTTAATTACATTGTTATGATTATAGCTTCACTACCATGTAATGAAAAATGTAATTAAATTTTTTTAACAGTGTGTCTGTCTGTCTGTGTGTGTCTGTCCGCACTACTACTCCTGAACGGCTCGGCCGATCGCGGTGAGATTTTGCACACTCTTTAGGCATGTCCTTGGCTCGGCACACGCGAAATCTCACCATCGTAGCTCATCTGGTTCAGTTTTTATAGCCGAAAAACACCTTAAAAACGGCGAAAAATCGAGTTTTCTGCAGGCAGGATGCCTTTTGTCCTGAAGAAGGGGGGGGGGGCCGCGCCTCGATAAGTTCAAAGGTTACAAGGGTCAAGATCATGCTATCTGTAGATGATGCAACTCTACCTAGAAGGAAGGGGGGTCCCCCAGCATGCAACAAGTTAGAAGTAACCGACGATGGACAAGCCATTGCCTGCCGAAGGCAGGCTGGCGCCGTAGGCCAAGGTAGGTACGCCAGGCGCGGATTGGAGAAACAGTCAGCGAGACATCGCGAAGCCTGTTACGACAAGACGCGGTCTGGCGTAAACCTACCTTGTAATTTATGGAATACTTTTCTTTTAGTTAAGTCTTGACCGTCATTTTTTTTATTAGGTCGAAATTGAAAAGATACTGAGCCGAGGAGGGTTGGTGTTGGCCAAGAAGTTCACGGATGGCATCCAGGAAGCTGCGAAAAGGGTCGCATTGACACAAGGCAGGCGATTTATTGTGTCCGTTCAGCCTGCAAAAGACCTCAGAGCTAAGAAATGGCCGTACGTTATCTTTGATATTGTGGTAGAATGAATGTGTCATGCATTTATGCAACTGTATGAAAAACATTGCTGTTGGCTGTTGCAGTGTTATTGTGCTGAACTGCGATCAAGTCACCGAGCTGGTGCTGAAAAATTCAGTCCTGAAGCGGAAACAGACCAAGACGGCGCCAATGATCGTTGTTTGCCCTCACCCTGATGGGACACACAACAGTCGTCCAGTTCAAATTTAAGTTGGTTCCAGCAGCGGTTCTTGCATCAGTGTGGGGTTTGTCCAGGATGAGACGGCGCCCTGGTGAGGCTGCAGGGCGGCCCAAAAGAGCATGTCTCAGTGACGTAAGTTTCTCCTCTAAGAGGTCCAAAAAAATATGCAACTGCATCCTTCACCTACCTGTATGGCGTTAACGTTTAATGATTTTCATTTGCAGGTAACTAAGATGACTCAAATTTTAGCCGTAAGGGTTGGGAAACGTGAGACCCCCTTCGGCTAAACTTGTGCACGCCACTGTTACAGGGCTTAGGAAAACTGCACCGCACTTCCTCCGCATTGCGCCGAGGAATGCAGTTTACTGCTTAAAGACAATGCCCGGCCTCCTCACCAGGAAAAACCAGCGGACTGCAGAAATTGCCCATTGATTCGGCCTGAAGGACGGTATTCTGTCGTGCATGAGTGCCTTGCTGTCAGATTCCGAACACTTTGCTCAGAGGAAAGCAGGAAATCCTTCTGTTCTTCCTCTTTATGCTGAGGGTTTTATCAGCAATTACAAGTCTCATGTTGTAAGTAGAAGCAGCTTAATTTGACGCTGCTGTGTAGTTGTTTTAGGGTAGGCACAGTGTTAAAATATTATTTGAACCTTTTTTGACAGCGGCCGAACACTAGAAATTCTGCCACAGTCCGGCGGATGGTGTCGTTGTGGCGCTTCGCGAGGCATACTGAGCCAAGTACGCAATATGAGAGAGCGTGCTTCGAAGCTGCCAGGATGGCCGTTCGGCGTGCCGAGCTGCGCAGACTGACAGAGCGCGTTGTGAGCAGAAACCGGTCATTCAACTTCCAGAAGAGGATCCGGCGGCGCCGCCTGATACCCAGAAAGATGAAGGTCTGGACGCCCAGACTGCAGGAAGATTCGCCAAAGAAGAGAGCCGAAGTAGAGTTTAGAGAATCGTTACTTAACCTCTTGGAGCCCAGGAAAAAGGAGGACAAGGCAACTGAGGCGGCAGATGATGCGCAAGGAATAAAGTTGGAGTACCAGAAGCCGGGTGAGAACAATGTTCTAAACCTTTTTTTTTTAATCAGTTATTTAGTGTGTCTGCATTTCTGTACGTGTGACCGTGATATTTTTTCTTTGACAGTTCAAAGGCGCCTTCCATGGGCTCCAAGAATCCACGTAACTGAGAGTTTTGAGCCTGTCGGCGCTCAGCCTGTTGTCGTTGTTCAGGATTCGGCCAAGAAGGACGAAGACAGCATAAAAAAACTGTTGGGAAAGATTTGCAATGGCCGCAGTTTTAAACAAAACACCTGGACCTCTCTGAATCCATAACGGAATCCGAGTCTGAATCGACAGAGGTTAGGGAACCAGAACCGCAGCCCATCTTGCCGGACTTCCATGATCTGCCAGCGGACCAGGAAACTACGGCTATCATCAAGCGGCTCGAGGAGCTCAGCAGGACTATGCTATTCGATTCTGCCCCTGGCCCTGGAGATTTGCAGCCTGCAACACCGCAGCCTCTCTGGCCAAATGGATTTTACGAACTCCCTCCCTACTGTAGAGTCCCGCTCATTCCTTGCTTCTGCTTTACAGGTCGTGGAAGACTCCATGCTGGACGTGGTGCTCCACAAGATGGACCAGTCCAACAGCCTGCTCCGCGAGCCCCATTCAACATTATGGGGCTTGCTGAAGCCGTGGATCGGGCTAGTTCGTATTTACAATTTTCCCCTGGCAAATAAAACAGTGGATTATGTTTAGGTGCAATTATAATCATTTCTTCTGTCATTTGTTTCAGACCTCGATGCACGCTGCGCCGAACTTATAACGCAGCTTGCTGTGCTTCCGGGCTACAGTGGCTTTGATGAGGAGGATTGCCTCCTGAATTGCCCGAGATGTTTTCGCCCAGCCGTGCTCTACCGGTGGAAGGGCACGGGCAAGCCCCGCGTCCGGCACCCGCAGACTAACGACTGGCTGTTCGACTGCTCCTGCTTTCAATCCTACAACGTCGTCGCCTTTCGGGAGGACGCCGTGCTCAGGATGCTCTTGGACGTTGTTGTCCCAGTCCCGTTTGGCGCCGTCAGGCGCACACTCCAGTTGTTGGACGAAGCAGAACAGAGGGTCATGATGCATATGCTGCTCAGCAGGGACGTCATGATATTGATGCCGGAGACCACCGGGGAATCGGTGGCCATTTCCATACCTAACATTCTCGTAAGTTCACGTCTTGACATTCTTAAATGTGGTTACTGTTTTATCACTTCCTTACCTGTACTTTCGGTTGGTATCTGCGCAGTCCAATGACCCTGCGATGGATGTGCCTTTCGCTCCCTCCATGGACTGGAAAATATGCCCGATATGCAGCAAGGACATGAAGGAGAAAGTGAAACAGCATCTTACGAGAACCCACCACCGAGAAGACGTATATAAAGCCGTGGCCTCAAGGCAGGTAGTAACTGCAGGGCTTACAAACGTCCAGGGCCCTCTGCGTTTCTGGAATAAATACCTAAAATATTCTGACCTGTTAGTCATTTTTTGTTAAAAGAAAACTGCTATTCTTTAGACATTGATTTGTTTATATATTTTCAAAAATTTATGTTGTTAACCTTTATTAAGATTTATATGTTTGAACTCATATTCTGTTATCCAAAGACTCTTCATTTACTTTAAAATTGATCTTCTATAAACAAGGTAGGTGTACGCCAGACCGTGTCTTGTCGTAACAGGCTTCGCGATGCTGCGCCAGTTTCGACAATCCACGCCTGGCGTTACACCTACCTTGGCCTGCGGCGCTTGCCTGCCTTCGGCAGGCTAGGTTTCTTTTCCAGGCATCCGCATACCAATTTGCGTGATTGAAGGTCAAAAGAGCATTTGATTTCGTGCCTAGGGCTGCATTGGCCTGACTTTTTAACTTGTCGAGGCTGGGAGGCTCCGCCCCCCAGACCCCCCTTTCCTCAAGACAGAAGTGATCTGCCTGCAGAAAACTCGATTTTTCGCCGTTTTTTAGGTGTTTTTCGGCTATAAAAACCGAACCAGTTGAGCTAGGATTGTGAAATTTCGCGTGTGCTGAGCCAAGGACATACCCAAAAAGTGTGCAAAATCTCACCGAGATCGGCCGAGCCGTTCAGGAGGAGTAGCGCGGACACACACACACGCACGCACGCACGCACGCACGCACGCAGACAGGAAAAATTTTTCAACCCCACCTGAGTAACAGGCTTCGCTATCGCTCAGCCAAAAAAATTAATTTTTTTATCACTTATCAACTGTCTGTTAAACCATGATTATGTATTCAGTCATTGAATAAATGGTTAAGGAGAAAAAGATGTGCATTTTCTTTACTAGTGTATTTTATCATTATCCAAATCCATCCCGTAAAGTGCCGCCACAGTGCGTGATAGTAGCATTTGAGCGGCCCTGGGGCCTTCGGAATGGTCCCGCTCAGAGGGACTTGGAGACGCGGCGGGGCATGGCGCGGTCCCCCTCCCCCCCCTCCGGGCGGCCCCGCGGGCCCCGCTGATGCACCCCGGCCCTCCCCGCCCCGTGCCGGTAGGCGGGAAAACCGTTGTCCGGACAATCAGGGGAGAGTGCAAGTGCCCGCGAGAACGGCGGCACGGTTTCAAAGAAAAAAAGAAAACAGAAAAAAAACGGAACTAAACTTTCAGTTAGAACCAGAGATAGAGTACGCCACCGAGCAGATGGCTCAGTGGCGTGAGCGGAGAGAGCGGCTGAGGGCAGCTGAAGGCGATTGAGCGCTGGATGCGGACGGTGGCTTTTAAACCTCTTGAATTGGAAAATTACCGAGAACAGTTAGGCTGCAGTAGGCAGCGTCAGCTTCAGAATTGGATTCTTGGCATGGGCAGCATTCAAGTTTGTGGAAAACAAAACAAAAAATCACTGAGCACATTCTGTATTTAACATCACACTCATCCACTACATGGAGGACATCTCTAGCCAGGCAAAACCAGATTTTTATTAAACCACAACAAATGTTCTAATCTGTTTTTGGTGTTTGTTTCAGGAGCAAGCTGCAACGGATGTCAAGACACCTGCCACCACTACAGAGAAGCTACGTGACATCTTTGCCTTTGAAGAGGACTCAACAGAATACACCAAGAAGTACAGAGCACGTTACACATCTTAACCCATTTACAAGATATATAAGACTGGAGAGGGAACTATTATCCCAAAGAGACGACCAAGAGGTGAAGTAGCATCAACAGAATACCTGCCGTGTGAATTTTGCTTTAAAATGTTTGAAAGATCATACTTACATAAGCATGACAAAGTCTGTCCAGCCCAGTCAAAGGAGAATCTTCTGGAGTCATCACCTAAGAAGAGAGACTTGAGAGGTATACAGGCCCGAAACAGATTACTGTTGCCAATTGCTCAAAATATACCGCACGAGTTTTAAAAACAGGTGCTGGAAACAATGAAATGTGACAATTATGAATGTCTGTTGACTGGCACCTCGTCAAGAATGTAGGCCAAGTCCACTACACTGTCAGAAAATTCCGAAAAAAAATGGAAAAATCATGGAGTTTTTCCGAAACTTGTCCATGGAGCTCTCCATAAATGTAAATTCTGGGCTTTCTCCGAAAAATTTCGGAATTTTGAACAAAAATGCATGCTTCACTATCACAAAAACACGAAAAACAGGTTTGCAACCAGTTGAAAATTGAGGGAAAGGTGAGCCCCTACTTCTTGAGCTCAGTTTTCATAATATCAGGGGGTAGCAACACGGCCCTTTTGGCCGCTCCGTGCGGTAGCGAGGCCTGGCCCCCCACCACCGCCCCGGCCGGTGCCGGCCTGTTGTGAGCCTAGCTAACCTCTCAGAAAAACACTGTTTTTGTACGTTATTTAGTGGCAAGACGGTCTCGTTTGTAGTCAGTGCCCTCGTTTATTTCGTTATCTTTCGATCAAGCACAAAAGATATTTTCTTTGTGCCAAAATCGCAGAGTATTTTTGCTGAAGCGAGCCGCTGCAACTGGCCGCGGCGCCGCAGCGCGTTGACGTTTCGCTTTAGCAAAAATACTCTGCGATTTTGGCACAAAGAAAATATCTTTTGTGCTTGATCGAAAGATAACGAAATGAACGAGGGCACTGACTACAAACGAGACCGTCTTGCCACTAAATAACGTACAAAAACAGTGTTTTTCTGAGAGGTTAGCTAGGCTCACAACAGGCCGGCACCGGCCGGGGCGGTGGTGGGGCCGGGGCCCCGCTACCGCACGGAGCGGCCAAAAAGGGGCCCTGTTGCTACCCCTGATAATATTAAGGGAAAGCTACAGGATATAAGTCAAAAATGAGCTCAAAGGAGATTGTAACTTCTTTGACCATTTCAGACTAAAAGATGCTTCAGCGAAGTCCTCTTTAATATATCTGAGAAAAGACTTGCATTTTACCTTCCATCTGGACCCAAGGAATGCTCCGAAGAACATCTGTTTAAGCATTGAGAAAATCTCTCCGAAAAAAAGATGGAAAATGGAGTCTCCATGAACGTGATTAAAGGGTTTTTCTCCATAAAATTTCGGAGCTAATTTGTAACAGTGTACCCGCAGACTCGCACGAGGGGCGCGAAGAGGCAAGCCTCAGAGGGAGAGGATGCGGAGGCAGTGGAAAGGCCGCATCAAAATAAAACTTTATGAGCTCGAACGGGCTTTATGCAAAAGGCCCTATCCATGTAAAACTCTCCACTTAATTTGAGCGCTCTCCGATAACGCGAACCCAGCCCGCACAGCGCATTTGTACCTGGGGGCAAAGATGCTACCCGCAACCCGCAGGGCAAGGACTGGGCATGGCACTGGCGCGGCCGAGAAACGCGGGTGGCGGCTCGGACCCGGAGTCACCTCTATACGCCTGTGCCGTTGAATCTGCCAAAATCCTCAACCTACTAACTACAGCGCGACGTAACCAAAGAAAAAAAAAAAAATCCCAATGCTAACGCATTGCACGGTGTTCCGGTTGAGGAAATCAATTTGAAGTCTGTCGTCTAAACGTTAATTACGTTAATTTTACCGTTATTTACGCAACTTTGAATCCTACCGGTATTTTTACATCCCCAAACCTGATTCAGTTAACACAATGACCATCTCAGTCCATCTCGCGATTTACAGTGCTCATGTTCGTCAAACGAAAGTCATCCGCGTTCCGAAACCACCCCTCCCGAGTTTATAAAGTTTGTCAAACCAACAATTGAGGAAAACATCACAAGGAGAACCGCAACCTTTCAAAGCAAGCCAAACAATCCTACCTCAGCAACAATGGAGGGGCAGTTTCAATGCGCGACTACTCGTTTTTTCAGCCTCGCGATTTTCGAAAGGGCGCAGACGCCGAGAAAATTGTTGCCAACCTCCGAAAATTAATTTATTGCGTCTTTTCTGCTACGAACTTTTTACTGACAGACTTCAAAGATGTTCCAATGTCGGGACACCGTGCAATGCGTTAGCATTGGCATTTTCGAATTTCACGGCGTTTTGATTTCTTTTTATCGGCGACTTTAAATTTTGACAGTTGGTACGATGGCACCGTGTCGTTGCCACGGAGACTTTTTTTTCATGTTTTAACCATTTTCTCAGAACACAGACGATTTCTTGTCACTTTGATGAGGCAGGAGGTTTAGTTTTAAGGAGTGGCACATTTTCTCTTTGAAAATGTGAACGGATAAGGGTGCTTGATTGTTGCAAATTTATGTTTTAGTCGTTTACTTCAAATTCTCACGAATAATTTTCGAACGCTAAACTATTGCAACCATGAAAAAAACGAAAATTCCAATTCTTTACGAAAATTTATCGTGGAAATTTTCCGTTAACTAGAAAAACATAAATTTGCAACAATCGAAAATAAAAACCGTTAATGATATGAAAAAATGGTTCAAATAAAAAATGTGCCACTCCTCAAAACTAAACCTCCGGGCTCATCAAAGTAACAAGAAATCTTCAGTGTTCTGAGCAACACTGCAAACCTAACTGTCTACTAAGTACACACTTACAAATGCGTGCTTGCAAGTACACAATTACAAACGCATGCTTGACGCCGTATAACTCCATGCGTCAAGCATGCGTTTGTAAGTGTGTACTTGCAAGCATGCATTTGTAAGTGTGTACTTGGCCAAGCATGCGTTTGTAAGTGTGTACTTGGCCAAGCATGCGTTTGTAAGTGTGTACTTAGTAGACAGTTAGGTTTGTAGTAAAATGGTTAGTCGCCGATAGAAAGAAATCAAAACGCCGTGAAATTCGAAAATGCTGATGCTAACGCATTGCACGGTGTCCCGACGTTGGAACATCTTTAAAGTCAGTCACTAGTAAAAAGTTCGTAGCAGAAACGACGCATCAAATTAATTTTTCTGGGTTGGCACCGACTTTCTTGCCGTCTGCGCCCTTTCGAAAATCGCGAGGCTGAAAAAACGAGCAGGCGCGCATTGAAACTGCCCCTCCATTGTTGCTGAGGTTGGATTGTTTGGCATGCTTTTAAAGGCTGCGGTTGTCTTGTCATGTTTCTCTCAATTCTGTAGAACAGTTCTTACTCACAACGTAAAAACAGCACGATGGTTGGTTTGACAACCTTTACAAACTCGAGAGGGGTGATTTCGGAACGCGGGTTACTTTCGTTTGGCGAACATGAGCACTGTAAGTCGCGAGATGGAGTGAGGTGGTCATGGTGTTAACTGAATCAGGCTTGACCAGAACTCCTTTTCAATTGGTTAGTTTGAAATTAGCGCATGCGCACTTTGAAATTTTTTGCATTTTGTCATAACCATTGAACAGTTGACACTGGCACGGTCCAATACATGGCTATTTAAAAATAGCCAAATGTGAAAATGGGAACACCTTGCAATGCGATTAGCATTGAAATTTTTTAACTGTTTTTAGAAAATTTTGGGTCAAATTGCAAGTTTTTTGGGCTCGGGGCCATTGTCTACAGATCATCTTACAAACAGTCTTTTTAGAGACTAGTGACTACTAGATTCTGTTAAGGGGAGGTTCTACTGAAAATATTGCATTTTTCAAATTGAGCCCCAGTGTAAAAATTTGTTGCAGATGTATAATATTACATAGTTAATGGTCAAACATGAAATTTAGAGCCCAATACCTCCCTCCAAATCCAGTCGAAGAGGTTTTTTCAGCCTATTGTAGCAATATCTTAAAAAATTCTCCTACGCAAAGTATTTCAACGTAAACTGATGATCTGGACATTTTTCATTTCTTTGGCTCATATGCAATAAAGCGTGGCATCACCAAGACATGGGACCCAACAAATTAATTTTGACGTTGCTTTTCAGAAAAAAAGACACTAAAATATCAGGATTTTTACCATTTTCTTGAAATTTTATTGACATCCTTTCTTAAAAGCACAGCTTATGATGTTGTTATGGTCCCAGTATCTTACTAATGCCACGGTTTATCAATTATGAACCAAAGAAGTGAAAAATGCCCAGAACATCAGTTTACGTTGAAATACTTTGCATAGGAGAATTTTTCAAGTTACGACTGGAAATAGCAGAGAATTCCTCTTCGACTGGATTTGGGGCTAGGTATTGCTCTCCAAACTTCAAATTTAACTGTTTACTATGAAATACTTTAAATTTACAATGAATATTGATAATGGGCCTCAATTTGAAGAAAGTAAGATTTTCAGTAGAACCTCCCCTTAAGTTTCCATAATGTCATCACCGACAGCCAAAGCTTCTGAGCCTGCACTGACAGAGCCTCCAGCGCCCACTCCAAGTGCACCGCCTCCAGCTCCGGCATCAGCTCCTACGCCTGCCGTAACAGCTCCTAAGGCCTCACCGCCGCCTGAAATCTGCGTTCACCTCAAGCGGTCCTCGAATTCGGACGTCTTGATTCTAATGGTACAATTATTAATATCACAGTGAACCCGGCGAACTACACTCGTATTCCCGAACTTACTTACGATATGTTGGTCCCTCTCCAGAAGACCCTCCATCGCGTAAAGCTGATTTCACGCGAATGTGTCGTACCCTGCTACTTAAGGTAAAAAATCAAATGTGGGTCACTTTTTTTAAAAATGCATATTTAAAATATAAATGTTGAACAAGTAGGCAAAGTAGCTTTGAGACGTTCAAATGTGATCCCTTGACTACGTTTTGCAGCATAGAAGCCTCGTCTTTCGTCCTCGTTTACT